TTAAGATTATTACCAATATTTATCAAAGTTTTAAAATCAATACAAAACAATTAAATGCTTTATATCAATTGAAATCTATTTAAAAAATTTTCTAATAATTGATTGCAACCTATTCTCTGACTATTATTATAATTTAAATAAAATATCTTTAGCTTATACTATCAATATTTTTTTTTTTTACTTAAACAGATTGCATTATTAATCATTTAATAAAGCCAGATTTTGTGAAAGATCAAAGAATTACAATTTTCACTATAACTTATGATATTAAATCTTAAGTTTTAATATTCTACAGCTACTTTATAAATAATTAAAGATTACCAAAGCACTTATAGACAACACTGCTATATCAGTAAGATATAATCAATTAAAATAATATTCTAACTTGTCTAACTATTACTTTATAATAGAATATTGACAATTTATATCTTTTTATAGAGAAGCAAAAGAAAAAAAAATTTTAAAAATAATACAAAGATATAGAAAATAATGTTAAAAAAGTATAAGCAAGAAAAGAAAAGAATAAAAAGAGACTGAAAATTCAAAACTAAACTAAATATAGAGTTTTTCATCTGCACTAGATAGTCATAATTATAAGCCTATATCAGGTTTCATAAAATTATATACTACTATTTAAACTAGTTTATACTCTAATTTATATATATAGTATATCTAAGATAAGAAAAAAACTACTAATAGGATAAAAAAATAGCTTCTTTGATATTAGCACTATAGAGAGATCAAAAAAGTTAGAGGTTCATACCAATGGTTTCAAAACATTATTTGTCTAAGTTATTATATTTGAAACATGTAATCCATATATTCATATTCTATATGTTTGTTATAATAGATAAAAAGTAAACAATATGATTAATTTGATAAATAAACAATATATTAATCTTTTAAAAAGGAGTTAGTTAAATTGTCTACTTTTTTACAAAATTTTCTTTAAAAAAAAGCAAGAGATTAACAAAAGTATATGAGGTTCTTCTGTAAGTTTTATTGTTATATAAACAATTCTTCAAGCTTATACTATTTTAGTGAAGGCTTTTTAATTACTATTTGTTCTCAAAATGCCTTTCTGGTTTGAATAATGAATATTTTGAAGAGTTTTCCAAAAGAAAACCCAAAACTTAATTCTAAAAAAAAAACTATTTAAAATATATTTATGTTTCAATGTTTTATATATTTTAAGTTCCATCAACAACCTATTCTAAGATAAAATCAATTTTTAAAATACTCTTTTAATTTAAATACCAAATATTCTAGGAAGTTTATACAAAACACAAAAAGTTTAAATCTAAAAAAAACTGTCTAAATTATACCTCCTACTACAGCCCTTGTAGAGTTCACCCAAATCTCAGTATCTACTTTACAGACTCTCTCCTATACCTCCAGAAACCCAAACTCCTAATCCGATAGCTCAGAAGGACCAGAACTCTTCCTCTGTTTTTTCTCGTCAGCCTTGTTGTTATTAGTGCTTTGCCAAACACCTCGGTCCTGTCCGGTTTTCTGATATCTGGTTGATCATCCTTTATATAGTAACTGTCAAAGATCTGTGCTACCTCTCTACTCAGGTCTTGCCAAGCAGGCTTCTGTACTCTGTAAATTTACTAAATTTATTCAGTAGCTTCACTTGGATTTTGTATAACTCATACATCACACTACATGTTCTACTACCTCCCAGTACAAGCTGGTGTGACTCTCATTACAGGTTCTATAACCCAATAAGATATAGTCTTCTAAATGCATTTTCTGTAAATTTGAATTTTCGTCGCTGGTAGAATTTGAACTCCAGTCCTGTTGCTTGGAGGTGCGACAACTTGCCAACTTTACTAAGTTACCACACCCTACTTTTCTGATATTAAAAATCTTAATTTAATATTTATTGATCAGCTACTAGATTTAAAAAAAAAACTAAATAATAACTTGTCAACAACTCAAATTTTTTAGAAAAGAAATAAGCAAGAGCAAAATAGCTAAATAGTTTAAGCAAATAAAAGAGTTAATTTTTAAAATAAACTGATTAAAATACAATACAGAACAGAGAGTAATAACAGATAGTTCTTGAGAACTCATTTGGCTAATTTTCTAACAAATAATTAGATTAAGAAGTAAATAATCATAAAACTACTAAAGAATAAAGAGAATCTAAAATTAATAATTGCATGAGTAATCTCTAAAACACTAAAAAAAATCTTAGTAGAGTATTAGAATTTAGATAATATATACAACATAGGAAATCTTATACTAGAGAAATACACAAGATGTAAAACTAACCAATATGAAGCAATTGAAAGTTATAAAAAATAGTAAAATAGAAGCAAAATCCAAGGATCTTTATTTGCTTTTGTTAAAAGAAATAAAAACAAATAGAGATTAGAGATTTCTGTAAACTCAATTAAAATATGATATAGAAACAGAAAAGCAAAAGTTACCAAAGAGAAATCTCAATGCATAAAAATTGTTAGTTATAATCTAGATATGAAAATGATTCAAAAACAAGATATATTATTCAAACATAAAGAGAGTTTAATCAAATAGAATTAGAACAACCAGTCACTACTTTATAGAGATCTAATTTTTTATACAAATAGATTATTACAACAAGCTAAAAACAACACAAAGGATTCTGATTATATAGGCATAGAGATTTTACAAATAGATTATAATAAACAAATAATAATTGAAAAAAACTTTGCCAGAACTGAAAACTGGCCTTTATCAACTAAATCAGAATTAATAGCTATTTGGTTAGCAGTTCTCATAATATTATATAAAGAAAAAGCTAAGATATATACAGATAATGCAGCAACAATTATAAGTATAGAAAAGGAAAAAATTATTTTTTAAATAAATAATAGTTAATACAGAAAAATTATGATTTATGCATAATATTATAAAGTTAGTTAAGATAAAAGAAATTCAACTAAATTTAGTTAAAATCAAAAGTTATAGTAATAATAAATAAAATAATAAAGCAAATAGTCTAGTAAACAAGATGCTATAATAAAAAAATATAGATAGAATTATCTTTACCCTCATTAAGATCAAATGTTTCACTATATTGAGATGAAACACTTATTGAACATCCAGTAAGATAAGTAATTAAAATATTTCTAGACCTCAAAACAGATGCAGACTGAAAGAAATTGAAAGCAATATAGAAAATAAAACTAGAAAAGAATCTTGAAGCTAATGAGTAAATCTATTTTTAAAAGTAAATCAAAAGAAATAGCAGAATCAAATATATAATATTAAAAAAGGACAAATGCCTTAGAGCTTTAATCAAGTATATTAATGAAAAATCATCTATATTTCAGATATTAGTACAAAGACACTTGGATTTATATCAAGATTCAAATTGTATAATATATAATAAAAAAATCAAAAAAGATTAAATTATCTAACAAGTTGCAAGAAACAAGAGAATAGCTGAAAAATTCTAAAAAAACTAGCAGCAAATATAATATAAGTATCCCTTTCAAAAAAAATCTAAAAGAGAACAAACAAAGACCTACTAAAAAAGACTCTCTAAAGAGAATCAAAAGAAGAATCTTTAGAAATAAAAGTAAAAGTAATCAAAGAACTAATATAAGAAAACAAGACAAAAAAACTATAAAAGATTCTACAATCAAGAAAAGAAGTTAAGATCTATATTAAGCTTACTATAAACATAGTTTAAAACTGTTTTTATAATAATTGTCTGAAGTGAAGCGACAGACTTATACTTCTACGTTGTTTGATGACCGAAATTACGTTTTTGATGCATCTGTAATAAAAATATCAAAAACGTAATTGTTGCATTTTCCGGATGTAACGCTGCGTATCTTTATTTGAATATTCATGTAACAAAAATAGATTACACGTTTAGCAGCCAATCGTACTAGCAAGATCATTTCTTTTTTTTTCAGTTCGATCTTTTTTTTTATTTTGGATCTTTTTTATTTTTTTTTTTGGCAAAAATAAATTGGCGACCCATCGCACTGCGATATTTCATTTGTGCTTTCATTATTTTGTTTCGTGCTGCCTTTTTTTTTTAACTTTCAGAATCAAGTATGTGTGTTTTTAATTTTTTTTAGTTTTTTTTTTTTATTATTAAAATTAACTTTTTCTTTTGTTTGCTTTTTTTTTCTTTGCTTTTTTTTCTTTGCTTTGCTTTTTTTTCCTTCGGTTTTTTATTATTCTTCGTTTTTTTTTTTTATTTTTTTAATTTTTTTGCTTTTTCTCCGTTTTTTCTTCTTACCTTTATTTTTTTTCTTTTGCTAACCTTCCCTTTTGTTTTTGTTTCCATCATTTTTCTTCTCTATTCTTCTTCGGCCTATTCCTATTTTTTAATTTTAATTTTCTTTTTTCTTTCGCACATTTTTCTTTTTAACTTTTTATTACCTTTGTTTTTTTTCTTCACTTTTTCCTTCATTCTTTATTCACGTTTCATCATCTTTATTCTTTTCTTTTGTTCTTATTCCGTTTTTTTATTCTTCTATTCTTTCGTCCTTTTCTTTTCATCTTTCTATTCTCTTCGTTCATTTCTTTTTCCGTCTTTATCTGTTTTATTTCTTCTTTTATTTGTTCCCCTTTTTTTTTTTTGTATTTTTTTTTTCTTTTGTATTCTCCTTCGTTTTTTTTCTTTTGTCTTCCCCTTTTTTTGTATATTTTTTTTTTCGTCTTCCTCTTCCTTTTTTCTTTCGTTCTTTCCTTTTTCTTCATTTTTCTCTTTTTCTTTCGTTTTTCTCTTTTTCTTTCGTTCTTCCCTTTATCTTTTTTTCTTTCGTTCTTCTCTTTTTCTTCGTTCTTCCTTTTTTTTTGGTTTTCCCTTTTCTTCCGGGGTTCCTTTTTTTTTGTCTTCTCTTCCCTTTTTCTTTCATTTTTCTCATTTTTCCTTTTTTTTGTTTTTCTCTTTTCTTCTGGTTTTCTTTTTCTTTTCGTTCTTCATTCGCTCTTCACTTTTTCATTCGTTTTTCTTTTTTTCATTCGTTCTTTACTTTTTCATTCGTTCTTCACTTTTCATTTGTTTTTCCCTTTTTTATTTGTTCTTCCCTTTCATTTGTTCTTTCCTTTCATTTGTTTTTCTCTTTCTCTTTTGTTTTCCCTTTCTCTTTTTTTTTTTGTTCAATTTTTTTTCGTCTTTTTGAACTAACATTCTTCTCTTTCTTTCATCATCGTTGGAGTCGTCGTTGGAGTCGTCTGGAGCTATCGTTAGAGTCGTTGTTGGAGTTGTCTGGAGCCATCGTTAAAGTCATCGTTGGAGTTGTCGTTTGAGTTGTCGTTTGAGTCGTGTTGGTATTATCTTTAAACATAGCGGGTGGGTGGGTGGTTTTTTTTTCTTCGCTTTTTTTTCCTTCGGTTTTTTTATTATTCTTCTTATTTTTTTTTGCTTTTCTTCATTTTTTTCTTTTATTTTTTTCTTACCTTTATTCTTTTTCTTTTATCTTTTTCGTTTCTTTTTCTTTTTCGTAACTTTTCTTCACTTCCTTTTCTTCCCTTTTTTCTTTTCTTTGTCATTCTTTTATTCATCGTTGTATTTCTTTTTTTTTGTCCCTTTTTTTCTTCTCCCTTGTATTTTCTTTATTTCTTTTGTTTCTTTTTTTTCTTTTCCCTTTTTTCTCTTCGTTATTTTTTTTCGTTTCTTTTTCTTCTATTTTCTTTCCCCTTTTCGCTTCATTTTTTCTCTTCTGTTTTTTTCCTTTTTTTTGTTCTTTTTTCTTTGTTTTTCTTTTTTCTTTTTCTTTTGTTCTTTTTATCTTTCGATTTCCTCTTTTTTCTTTCTTTTTTCATTTTTTGTCTTCTTTTCTTTTGCATCGAGTTGGAGTCAAAGTTGGAGTCGTCATTTGAGTCGTCATTGGAGCTATTGTGTGATCTTGGTGCCGTTTTTGAGAAATTTGGGTTGGATTTTTGTTGGTAATTTTCGTGCTGCTGGATTTTTGTTTTTTTTATTTATTTATTTATTTATTTATATTAAAATATTGAAATAAAAAACTTAAAAAAAAATTTTAATAAGTAAAATTACGCGGTCACGTGATCGATTTTGATTGGTCGATCACGGGGTTGCCATGGCGACAGGTCGCTATAAAACAATGCCCTTTTTATTTATTTCGATCTTTTTTTTTTTTGGATCTTTTTATTTTATTTTATTTTATTTTTCTTGGAAAAGTTCTGGTGCCGCTAACAGATCAATAAATCAGATATGTTTTTTTTTTTTGATCTAGATCCTATATATTTACTGCTGCCTTTTTTTTTTTGAATGCGATTTCACTATTGGAGCCATCATTACTGGAGGTTTTGGTAAGTTTTTTATTTTGGAGTCAGTTTTTTTTTTTTTTTACTTCACTTCTCTTTTTTCTAGATATGATTTTGCTGTTGAAGCTGTCGTTACTGAAGTATTGAAGTTGCTGTTTTTTTTGTTTTAGGTTTCTTTTTTATATATATATATATATATATTTACTGCTGCTTCTCTTTTTTCTGAGTGTTATTTTGCTGTTGGAGCTGTCATTACTGGATGTTTCGGTTCTTATATATTTACTGTTATTTCTTTTTTTTTTAAGTATAATTTCACCGTTGGAGTCATCATTAATGGAGTTATTGGGGTTGCTGATTTTTGTATTGTCTGGTCGATATTAAAATCATTGTGTCGTTGTTAGTGTTTTTATTGTGGATTGTATTACTTGTTTCTTGACTTCTATATAGTTTAGTTTAGTTTAATATTAAGTAGTATTTTACTATAATGTTAAGATCCTGTAATTCGTTACTTCATTGCTTTGTATTTTTTTTTTTTTTTTTAATAAAAAAACTTCATTTTATTTTTTAAAAAATTGTAATTAATTTTGATTGGCTGATCACGTATGTTGATCATATTATCCATGTGATCGATTTTGATTGAGTGATCACAAGATGCATAACTATGCAGATGTATATTATATTTATTATTTTTTATTTTAATTTTTTATTTTATTTTTTTTATTTTTATTTTATTTTTTATTTATTTTTTTATTTTTTATTATATTTTTTATTTTATTTTTTTTATTTTTTATTTTCTTTTTTTATTTTATTTTTTATTTTAATTTTTTATTTTATTTTTTATTTTATTTATTTTATTTTTATTTTATTTTTTATTTTATTTTTTTAATTTTTAATTTTAAATTTTTTAATTATTATTTAAAACAAAACAACAAATTTATAATTTTATATCTTTTAATAACTAAAATTATATTTTTAATATATCTATAATAGCAATATTAAAAATATAATTTTTGTATTTTCTAAATATAATATTTTTAAAAATTTTGATTTATAATATATAATAAGATTTTTTAAATAATAAAAATCTTAAATTAAGCTCCAGACTTATACCAGTTTCTGGTTCCTAGTATATGAACAAAAATATGTAAGATAATATAGAAATAGAAAATTAGTAGAGGTATTACAACTAGAAAAAAATATAATACAGTTATACCTAGGTTATATCATATATTTTTTCTCTATATGTTTTTAAATTTTTTTAGAGATATAACTAAGGTTGAGATATAACTCAATATATAAAACATATATAAAAAGAAAATTTATTCTGTCTAAATATAGGGATATAACTAAAGCAACAAATAAGAGAGAATATAACCCAGTAGAGATATAACTCAGGTATGACTGTAGCAGATTAATAAAAAAGAAAAAGAAGTTAAGTCCAAGTATAATTAAAATAGAATCGTAAAAAAGGATTTAAAGCTTAGAGCTAATATAAAAGAATTAAAAAAAAAATATTAGATTAAAGAAAGAAAAAAAAGAGTATAAAAATAGAAAATAGATAGTTTAATAGCTTTAGAAAATTAATTCAAAATAGTTGCAAACTCTTTTAGTATGTTTGTGTAGCTAATCTAATATTAGCCTTTTGGTTATGAAATAAATTTTAGAACAGTATAGCAAACTGCTTTTAGATACTTATGAGGTAGCTATTAGATGTAGATATGTATCATTTCACCAACAATTATTTCACTAACATCTTAGTTTATCAACAATTAATTCACTAACAAGTTTATTTCACCAACAATTAGCTACACAAACCTTAACTCTAATTCTGGCCTGATCTTAATGACAATGGCCAGAATTACTTTGTCTGTGAAATGAGCTATTAGCAAATTAATTGTCAGTGTAATGAACTTGTCAGTAAATTAATTGTAGATGAATTAAGCTGTTGGTGAAGTGATTGTTAATGAAATGAGCACCACCTATTAGATATTAGGCCTAAATATTAAGCTCAATATTTTTTTTTTAATATTAAGGTGACCACTTTGAGGTCTGGCACGTTTTATTAAACTCTGGATCGAATGTCAGGACAACTACATGGGCTACTCCTGACTTTGTTATATTAACAAAAATAGATTCTAGCCATATATACAACTTTTGGTTGTCTATTTAAGCAGTCTTGCATATGTAACCTATATGAACTATACTAGATATCATATTTGTAGCTCACTATTACTTGAGTTACCCAATTAAACCTTCTGATCAACTTAGCATCATCAGATATTCTTCCCAAAGAGGGAACTGCCGCTAAGACCCCTTAAGACTACTTTATCCTCATGATAAACCTACTAGAGCGGTCTATATCCCACATATGTATCACCTAGATTTTCAATAACTTATGCCTAGACTATGGCCAAGTACTTGTGACTTTTTACCTTCACTACTATTACCTACTCTATACTTTTGCAAAGTTCACACAAACCCCAGTACCTACTTTACGGACTATCAACAATACTTTAATGCTAACTAACAGTGCTCTGAACTTCTAATCCAGATGGTTCAGAAGAGACTAGTGGGTGTCCTCTGGTATTCTGAATGAATTCTTTTTTCTCCAGCTGGTCCAGTAGCCTGGTTGGTGTAGTGCTTATCAAATACTTGATCTTTATTTAGTTTACTACTAGTATTCGGTTCTCCAGATAATAATCCTTTACATAATACTGTTGAAGATCTGTGCTACCTCTTTACTCAGAACTTTCCAAGTGGGCTTCCGTATCTTTTGATCCCTTAGATTTATTTGGTTACTTTACTTGAGTTTTGTGTAATTCATGCATTATACTATATTGCAAAACCTTCCAATATGAGTTGGTGAGACCAAAGTTACAGATGCTTACCTGATCGATATGTCATACAGTTTTATTGTAATGCATTTCTGCAAATTCGAATTTCATTGCTAGTAGGATTCGAACTCTTGTCCTGCCACTTAGGAGTGTGACAACTTACCAACTACACTAAGTCACCACACCTTATTAAGTTCAATATTATATAATTTATTTATATAATAATTTTAATAAAGAATCATCAGCAAGATTGCTAAAAATTAAAATAAAAAATAAAAATAAAATAATAAAATAATTTATTTCAATATATACTGTTACAGTATCATAGCCTTCTTAACAGCAGTACTATAATAATAACATGGCTACAGAGATCCTTCACAGGTTTATAGTGGTGTCCAACAGATAAATATAATTTCTGCTTCTTAGAGAAACTATACCCTTTTATTTGTAACTGTTTAGGCAGACAATAGTTTATAGATAAAATATATATTTATTAAAGATAAGTAAGATAGATTATTCTTAGGTTTCTATTTCTAAAAAATCTTATAATATTACAAGAGAGAATTTAGAGAAGAGGAGAGTCTGGATTTAAGTTGAACAGTAATAGGTCTCAACAAATTTAAGGTGAATAGTGACAAGTCTAATATTAATTTGAGGAAATTTATAGCCTTTTTATATCTTTAGAACTATTACTAATCATTGCAACTAGATGTAGTTTACTTAGTGCTAAACACTAATTATAATTGCTAATTGTTAAGTATTAATCGCTAATTGTTAATTATTAATTGTTAATCGCTAAGCATAATTGCTAATCGCTAAGTGTAATTGTTAATCATTAATTGCTAAGTGTAATTGCTAAGTGTAATCGCTAATTATTAATTGCTAAGTATAATCGCTAATTGTTAATTGCTAAGTATTAAGCATTAAGGCTAATTGTTATACATGTCTTTTAAATTTTTCTCTATGATAAATATAATAATAACTAATAACTTATAAAATACAAGTATCAAAATAATAAAATAATACTAAGATGAAATAATAAACTAATAAAATAAAACTGTTCTATAATAATACCAATTATAATTAATAAAAATTTAGTTGATTTTAAATAATAGTAGTGATGAAAATCATTTAAAATCTTTAGATTTTAATCAATTATAATTTAATTTTAAAAATTTTTAATACTTTTTTTTTTCGACAATTTTGTTTATTTTGTTATAAAAACAAACCTTTATTTTTATATGGTAAATACAGAAATCTACTTCTATAATATTCTGATTAGAATATAAACTCATCTAATTTTACTTTATAGATGTTATAATATTTACTTGTAATTAAAGCGAACTATTAAACTGCTGTGTTAGTTATACTTAGATGTGATTTGTTAAGGTAATAATTAGCTTTTTTTAGAGATCTAAAACTTACTTTGAA